GCCGGGGCGGCGGCGCGGCCCGGGGCGCCGCGGGCACGGGCGTCGTCGGCGCGGGCCGGGGCGCCGGGGGCTTCGGCGCCGGGGGCGGCGGCGCGGGCCGCGCGGCCTCGGCGGCCGCGGCCGCGACGGCCGCGGCGGACGCCGCCGCGGCCTCGCGCGCGGCGGACGCCGCCGCGGCCGCGAGGGCGCCGGCGGCGAGGGCCGCGGCGGCGGCGGCGGCGGCGCCCTCGGCCGCGCGGAGTCGCGCGTCGAGGTCCTCGCGCGCGGACGCCTCGACGGTCGCGCGGCGGCGCCGCGCCTGCTTGCGCTTCGCCGCGCGCGCCGCGTTGCGCTGCTGCTTGCGGGCGGCGGCGGCGCGCTCGGCGTCGACGGCGGCGACGTTGACGACGGCGAAGAGCGGCGCGCCGTCGGCGCCCGCGAACGTCTCCGCGTCCGCCGCGTCTCCGGGCCAGCCGTCGTCCGTCGACGCGTCGTCGAAGGCGTCGACGGACGTCGGCGAGCCGGCGCCGGGCCGCGGCGCCGCGAGGCCCGACAGTTTCGCGATCGTCGCCGCGTGGCCTGCGGGGCCGCGCGCGGTTCCGGCGGGAAACGTTTCAAAAAAGAGGGCGCGGGACCTCGCGCGCGGGGTCCTCGCGCTCGAGGTGCTCCATGGCGAGGCGCGCGCACATGCCGCAGCCGCCGTGGGCGCCCATCATGAGGAACTTGAGCTTCTCGACGGAGCCGTCGACCATGAGGTGCGCGATGAGGAGGCAGAGCTCGGCGGCCCCGTCCGCGAAGTGCGGCGAGTGGTGCCGGAAGAAGCCGACGGCCTCGCACGTGACGGCGCGGCCGAAGGTCGCCGTGAAGGCCTCGCGGTCGAAGTCGAGCCGGAAGGCGTCGATGAAGCCGCTGTCGAAGACGTACGCGCACATGACGACGGGCAGCGTGAAGCGGACGTCGTACGGGTCCGCGCGCTCGACGAAGTGGGCGAACTTGCCGACGTCGCTCTGCGTGAACGCCGCGAAGGCGCGCCAGATCGGCGCAAAGGGGACCTGCGGGCGTTCAGGGGGCGTCGCGGGCGCGCGGGGCCGGCGCGGTTCCGCGGAACCGCGAGCGAGTTCGAACGCGCGCCGAAGCGGCCGCCGTCGCGGGGCACGGGATCGCTGACGGCCACGGGCAGCCGGTTGATACCCGGCGCGTGCTGGATGACCATTTCGAGCAAAGGGAGGGCGGCGTTGAGCGTGTCCGTCCGCGTTTCGACTGCGTGCGACGCGATCGTTCGACGGCCGCGCGGTCGCGCGGACGAGGCGGAGCGACGCACGGCGCTCCCCGGACGATCCACACTCTCTCGGCGGCGACGTCGCGCGTCCGTGCGACGCGATGACACCGGCGGCGCGCGATCTTTGAGGACGTAGTCGGGATAGTGATTGCCGACGGCGTCGCAGTGGGCCTCGAGCATCGTCGCACAGGCCGCCCGCTCCTTGGCGTCCTCGGCGAAGAGCGTGAGCATGGTCTGACGCACCAGGGCGCGGCGGCGCTCGTCGGGCGGGGCGTCGTCCAGCGACGCGCGCATGCTGATCGACTGAGTTTTGCAATCGATCAACGCTTCCAACTAGTCGCCGAAAATTACCGCAGGCGTCCCAAACCTCAGCACCAACGACCCAGGCGTCTTCGAGCCACCAACGACCCAAGTTAGCCCGTCGACCTATATCTCCGCCGCGGCTGCCCGACCTTCAGGCTGAAGGCGAGGGTCTTGGGCACGGAGGTGATCCGGTGCCAGACGCGCTTTGGGATGTAGACCGCGTCGCCGGCCTCGAGGTCGAGTTTGAGATCCGGATCGTCGGTCTGCTCGGACTGGTCGTGCTCCGCGGACGTCGAACTCGGATCCCGCGGCGCGCACGTGCGCCAGAGGCAGACGGTCTTCTTCCCCTCGAGCACGACGAGGATGGAGCACGTCTCGTCTCGGTGCGTCCGACCTGCGGCCACGAAACGCGTCGAGAGGCGCCAAGAAGAAGGGACGCGGGCGCGCTGGCTATCCGTTTCGCCGATGGAATAGAAGAATTGCAGATCCCTCGCGAGGTTCTTGCCCATGTGGCCCGGCGGCGGCCACCGCGGCTCGTCGTCGACGCGGCCGCCGGGCGTGCCCTTGTAAAAGGCGCCCATCGACGTGACCAGGTCCTGGGAGCCGATGTAGCCGACGACGTAGCCGGTGCCGCGATGCGGCGCGCCCATCATGAAGGTTGCCACGTCATCGCCGCCGAAGACCGCGGGCTCGCCCCACGGGCCCTCGTCGCCGTCGAAGCACCTGACATCGAAGACCGGGCGGCCGCCGTCCGAAGCCTCCGTCACGACCTGGCTGAGGAACGTCTCGATCGCGCCGCTCGCGTTCACCGTCTCCGTCGGGCGGAACACGGCCACGGGGTCGCCGGCGTCGTGGTCGTCCGGCGCGGGGTACGTGGCGCCATACTCGTGGCGCTCGAGCGCGAGCTGCCCGCGGCGCGGCGCGTCGCCACCGCGAGGCGACGCCGAGCGCCGGCGCTTGCGCGCGGACGCCGGCGGCGCCTCGAGCAATTCTCCTGTTTGAGACTGGGTCTCGGCAGGCTCTTCGGTGAGCGCTGGCGGCGCCAGGACCTTGTCAATTTCTACTCGCAGCTCGCGCAAGATCCCCGAGGTCTCGTCGCTCACACCATTCTCACGCTGCCGCAACCACTCGGTCAGCGCGAGCGCCGAGAGCGCTAGCGGATCAACCGAGTGTGAGGCCGCAGCGCCGCGGGCTTGCGGATCAACCGTGTTTGAAGCCGCAGCGCCGCGGGCGCGACCCGCATCCATGCTCTCGATTGCCCAGCTGTGTCTTCACCATCGGCGTCGACGCCCGTGAGCACGGGAAGGCCGCCGGACTTGCGATTCGGCTTAGACGGCGCCTGCTCTCCGACGGGGGCCGCCGCGGCCTACTTCTTCTTGCGGATGCCGAGCATGTTGCCGATGCCCTTGGCGACGGACTTCATGGAGGACTTGCCCTTGGGCGTCGCGGTCTCCGGCGCGGGCGCGGCGGCGCCGGGTGCGCCCGCGCCGCGGTCCGGCGTCTGGGCGTCGCCGTCGTTGCCGTCGCGGGCGACCTTGGCGGAGCCGCGGAGGAAGCCCTTGAGGACGCCGTTGAGGAGGATGGGCTCCTCGAAGTCGACGGCGTCGCGGTCCGCCTGGAGGAGCCGCTTCGCGAGCGACCGACCGCCGAGGAGCGCGCCGCCGACGAGCGCGCCGTCGTCGCGGCCCAGGACCTTGAAGAGGACGTGGTCGCCGTCGTCGTCCGGGTCCACGGACGCCTCGAGCTTGGCCAGCAGCGCGTCGTCGTCGTCCCAGAGCGCGCGCGCGGACGGGTCCGGCGGCGGCTCGAGCGACTCCGCGTCCTCGACGAAGTTGCGCGGCGACGTGCAGCTCCGCGGGCCGCCGCCGTTGCCCGCGCGCCGCGCCGCGCCGCCGGAGATCTCGAGGTAGCAGGGCCCGAGCGCGGCCGCGGCGTCGCGCGCGTCGTCGAGCGTCTCCGCGCGCTCGAGGAGCACGGTGGCCCGGAGCACGGGGAAGCTCACGGCGAGGGGCGCCCGCGGCGGGCCCGGCGGCCGCGCCGGCGCCGACACGGAGAAGGCCGCGACGACGGCGCCGCGGCCGCCGCGGGGGCCGCGCCGCGCGTCGTGGAGCTCGAGCCGGAGCGACCCCCGGAGGCCCGGGAGCGACTTCCAGAGCACGCGCTCGCACCAGGCCGGCGCGACGCCGGCGCCCGACCCGTAGGCCTCGCCGTCGAAGGCCTCGAGGAAGGCCGTCGGCGGGAACCGCGGCGTCGCCGTCTCCCAGCCCGCGAAGCACCGCTTCGCCGCGCGCTCGCGCTTGAGGGCGTCGCCGCCCACGAGGGACGCCCAGTCGCCCGTCTTGACGGCCTCGGCGACGGCTTGACGGCTCGCGGCGTCGGACGCGTCGACGGGGTCGCTGCCGTAGCCGAGGTCGCCGAGGAAGAACGCGTGGTCCGCGTCCCCGCAGCAGTCGACGGACGTCGCGCCGCCGCCCGCGTCCGCGAGCATGGCGGCGGCGGCGGCGTTGGCCTCGCCGGGCTCGGCGACGCGCGACGCGTCGGCGAGGGCCGCGCCGGACGCGAAGGCGAGCGTCGCGCCCGACCGCAGCTTCGCGAACGCGGACGCGGACCGGCCGCCGCCGCCCGCCGCGAGCGCGCCGTCGCCGTCCGCCAGCGCGTCGCGCCGCGCGAGGACGACGACGACGGCCGGGGGCGCCGCCGCCGACGTCCGGGCGACGACGGACGCCCAGCGCTCGGCGCCGTCGCCGGGGATCCGCGCGCGGACGGCCGCGTCCGCGTCGGCCCACGACTCGAGGGCCGCGCCCTGGAAGGCGACGGCGACGACGTCGAAGCCGTTGAGGCGCTGGACGTCGTCGCCGGCGCCGTCGAGGAGCGGGAGCGCGGCGTCGAGCACCGCCGCGTCGGGCGGCGCCGCGTCCGCGCCTGTGTGCAAATCAAATCTTCAACCCGACTTCAATGTGCGCGTATGCGAATGTTTTGACACGAGCACTTCCGCCGTGCTTCGAGAACTCGCTGAGAGCAATCGATTCGTCCAAAAATCAGCCGAATCGACTTCGATTTGACCGAGCTAGAGAATTCTGAAGTTTGGCCCCGACGTCCCAGCTCACTGGTTGATTTGCACACAGGTCCGCGCCGCGGCAGCTGCCGCCAGACGCGCGCTTGCTGCGGCGCGGCCGCCGTCTCGCGGCGGGATTCGTCCTTGGCCGCGGAGCTCGGCGTCCGCGGCGGCGGCCGGGCCCGCAGGCCGTCCTCGACGTGGTCCCGCTCGCGCGCGAGCGCGTCGAGCCGGCTCCGGAGCGCGTCGCGCTCGCGGAGCATGTCCGCGACGGCCCCTTCCAACTCGCGGCGCCGCGCCTTCGCCGACTCGTCGCCGGCCTTCTTGTCGTCGCCGAACAGGTTGCCCTGCATCTTCGCCCGGTTCTTCGCCGTGGCCCTTAAATACTCGGGCGGGATCTGCACGCCGACCTCGGGCCGCTCTCCTTCTAAATCCACGTCGTAGGTCTCGTTGTCGTGGGCCTTGGCGATCTTGCCCCGCTGCGACTCGAGGCCGCGGCAGAGCACGACCTCGACGTCGTCGCCGACGTGGTAGCGCCGCCGGAAGAAGAGGCCCGTCGACGCCTGGCGCCAGAACCGCGCCTCGCAGCGGGACACGAAGCCGAGCGTCGCGTCCTGGGCGTCCTGGCGCCGCGCCGCGAGCTCGGACCGCGCGTCGCGGTCCGCGTCCTCCTGGACGGCGGCGAGGGCGTCGAGGTCGCCCAGGATGACGTGCTTCCGGAGCCGCCGCGCGACCTCGGCGTGCTCGACCTCGGACCTGGGCAGCAAAAGGGTGCGAAATTCCCAACTTCAAAGGCTCATATCTCGGCCGGTTTCCACTCGTTTTGGCTGATTTTTGGACGAGCGATCATCTCTCGGAACGGTCTCGAAGCGTGGATGCTTTTTTTGGAACGCGCGCGCGCGGAACACTCACGTTGAAGCGACGTTGAATCACCCTTTTGCTGCCCTGCCTCGGACGTGCACCGCATGCGGAGCGCGTCCTCCATGCAGCGGCTCATGTCGCCCGCGAGGCGCTCGAGGCCCTCGAGCGACTCCTCGAGCGCCTTCCGCGGCTTCTTGGCCACGGCGAGCGCCGGGTCCTCGCGGCCGTCGTCGCCGGGGCCCTCCCACCGCACGATGCCCTCGACGACGAGCTGCTCGAAGTCGCCGTGGCCGCCGTCGTCGCCCAGCACCTCCACGAGCTTCAGGTTCTCGTCGACGCCGACCTCCTGGAGCGCCTCGTCGCCGTCGCCGACGTAGACGACGTTGGACAGGCGGCCGTAGTACCTCGCCGTACCCGCGGCACCGGCCGCGGGCCGGTCGTCGTCGCCGTCGAGCGCCCACTCGACGCGCCAGGCGACGGGCACGGTCGCCGCCGCGACGACGTGCTTGTAGAGCGCGGCGGACGCGTCGTCGCAGCACTCGATGAGGTGGATCGTCCGGTGGTCGAGCGGCAGGTCGCCCTCCCAGTCGGGCTCCTCGCGGTCCGGGATGGCGACGCGCACCGTCGACGCGGCGTCGTCGAAGCTGTAGGCCGTCGCGATGAACCAGTTCAGGTTGTTGTCCGCGACGTCGACGACCCACTCGACGGGCACGGCGGCGCCCTCGCTCGACGCCCGCAGCGACCTGAGCGCGTCGAGCTCCCGCGCGCTGATGGTCAGCGCCGGGAGCGCCAGGTTCCGCTCGCTCGTCACCTCCGCGCGCGCGGGCGACTCGAGGGCCGCGTCCAAGATCGACGGCTCCCCCATGGCCGGCGCCGCCGCCGCTCGAAGCCAATGCGCGACGGGCTGCCTCGAGTTTCAAAGCGAGGGGCCGCCCCAAAGCGGCAAGGTTTCGGATTGCACCAGACGCTGCCCATCGATGGCATGGGGCCCTTGTACGTCGACTCCACGCTGCTCTACGCGAACCTCGCCCGGCGGCCGGAGCGCGACGCGGCCTTCCGGCGTCGCGCGGCGGCCGCGGGCTTCGCCGAGGACCAGTGCGTGCGCTTCGACGCCGTCGACGGCGCGGCGCTGGACCTGGGCAGCGTGCCGCGCGCGTATATCACGGAGGAGGCCCTCGCCATGGCCGCGGCGCCGCCGACGCTCGTCAACGGCATCGCCATGACGCGCGGCGCCGCCGGCCTCGCGCTGACCTTCCGCCGCGAGCTCGCGCGCGTCGCCGCGGCCGAGGGGGACGGACTCTTCGTCGTCGCCGAGGACGACGCGGAGTTCGTCGACGACTTCCAGCGGAAGCTCGCAACAGTCGTCGCCGCCGTCGACGCGGCGGACGCGACGTGGGACATGCTCCAGATCGGCTACTACGCCGGCGACCGCGCCTTCGCGGACGGCGGCGACCCGGGCGCGCCGTTCGCGCGGCCGAGGCGCGTCGCGGGCACGCAGGGCATCGCGTTCCGCCCGCGCGGCGCGGCGCGCATGCTGGAGATGCTCTTCCCGCTGGCCTGCCAGCTCGACACGGCGCTGGCCAAGGCCTACGCGTCCGCGGCCTGCTACGTCTCGCGGACGCCGCTCATGTCGGCGCCGCATTCGACGGCGGAGAATAGCGACATCCAGATCCTGCCGCCGGGCTTCTCCAAGGACGAGGTCTTGAAGGCCCAGCGCCGCGCGGAGGCCATGCGCCTCGCGCTGGAACGCGTGCCCGTCGACGACTTCCGGCGCCGCGTCCGCGCCGCGGCGCGCGACGCGTTCGACGCCGACGGCGGCGGCGCGCTCCTCGCCTTCGTGCCGCCGGCGGCCGTCGCCGCCGAGCGAGCGACGTACGTCGAGGCCTTCGTCGCCGACGCGGTCCGCCAGCTCTCGCGGGGCTCCAACGCCGTCGCCGCGGGGGGCGGTCGCGGCGAGTCCGACGACGCGTCGGACGCGGACGACGACGCGTCCGACGGCGAGACGCCGTCGCTCGACGTGCTCCCGCCCTTCGCGCCGCGCTTCTCGACGGACGCGGAGAAACGAAACTGGCTGGTCTACTCGTCCGCGGGCGACGGCGCGGCCGTGCCGCTCTGGCTCGCGAACGGCCCAAGGCGCTTCGACGTCGCCGTCACCTACCACGGCCGCCGCCGCGGCGACCCGCCCTGGCGGCCCCGCGTCGACGCGTTCCATCGGCGGCGCGGCGGCAAGTTCGAGAACCTGAAGGCGTGCGGCGCGCACCGCGGCTACGACGCGGTCCTCGTCCTCGACGACGACGTCGTCGTCGACGCGCCGCGCATCAACGAGCTCTTCGCCATCCGGGAGGCCTTCGAGCTCGCCGTGGTCCAGCCGGCCTTCGAGCCGTCGGGCAAGGTGAGCCACGCGGTGACCGCCAGGGCAGCAAAAGGGTGCGAAATTCCCAACTTCAAAGGCTCATATCTCGGCCATTTTCCACTCGTTTCGGCTAATTCTTGGACGAGCGATCATCTCTTGGAACGGTCTCGAAGCGTGGACGCTTTTCTCGGAACGCGCGCGCGCGGAACACTCACGTTGAAGCGACGTTGAATCTCTCTTTTGCTGCCCAGGTGACCGCAGCGCAACGGGGCTCGTTCCTGCGGCTCACGAATTTCGTCGAGATGACGTGCCCGCTCTTCGCCGGCGGCGCGCTCGACGCCTTCCTATCGCGCTTCGACCCGCAGCTCAAGGGCTACGGCGCGGACTGGTGGTTCCTCGCCGTCGTCGGCGGGGGGCGCGCGCCGCGGAGGGGGCGGTGCGCCGTCGTCGACGCGGTCACGTGCGCCAACCCCCCGCGGACGGACCGGCGGGGCATCGACGGCCTGCAGGGGAAAGAGGTGCGCCGCGAGGTCTGGGCCCAGATCCGACGGCGCGAGGGGCTCGCGCAGTGGGCCCACGGCGAGTACGGGAGGGTCGGCGCCGACGGCGCGGAAACGGCCAGCGCGCCGCCCGTGACCGTCGCCGGCGCGACGCCCTACGCGTTGCTCGACGACGACGAAACCGTGGCGGAGGTCGTCGTGCCGCCGCCGCCGCCGCCGCCGCCGCTGGGGGCCGCGCGCGTGCGGGACGGCGTCGCGGGACCGATGGACTGCGCGCGGCTCATCCGCGCGGGCGTCGCGGCGATGCGGGCCGTCGACCGCCGCGGTGGCGAGGCGGCGCTGGACCTCGACGACGGCGTCGTGGCCTTCCTCGCGAGGCGCACGGGGCTGCGGGTGGCGTCCGCGGCGCTGAGCCGCGTCGTCGCGGCACCGCGGCGCGGCGACGTTTACGAGCTCGAGCCGACCCGAGCGTACTGGGCCGAGGTCCGCGGCGCGGGCGCCGTGCTGTTCCTGAACGCCGCCGACGGCGGCGGCGTCGTCTGCGCCGACGGCGTCGTCGCCGCGGCGCCGGGGCGGCTCGCGGTCCTCGACGGCGGCTGGCGCGCGGACCGCGTCGCGAAGGGGGCGCGCTGGGCCGTGGAGCTGACGTGTTAAGGGGTCTAGGAGCGGCGGCGCTTGCTCGCGGGCGCGCCGTTGGCGCTGGCGAGGGGGCGGCCGCGCTTCTTCGGCGGCGAGCCGTCGGCGAAGGCCTGGAGCCGCGCGGCGAGCACGGATTTGGCGCCACTGGCCGGGAGGCCGAACTCGACGCAGCAGGCCTTGAGCTCCTTGCCCTTGGTCGCCGTCTCGAGGCGCGCGCGGACCGCGGCGCGGCGCTCCTGCTCGACGATCTGGCGCTCCTCGAGGTCGCGGAACAGCGGCGACCCGTCGGCGCGGCGCTTGCTGATCGCGAAGCTGCGCTCGAGGTAGTCGCCGCTCCACGTGTCGACGAAGACCTCCCAGGCCACGGCGGACGGGTCGAGGAGGAGGATGGCGGGCATCTTGCAGATGGTGGTCCAGAGCGCGGCCTCCATCTCGCCGCGGAGCTCGTCGTCGGCGGCGTCGCCGGCAAAGTCCTTGAGGATGTGGCGCAGCCCCATCTGGCGCGCGCGCATCTCGCACTCCGCCGTCGCGCGCCACGCCAGTTGCAGCATGGCGGCGTCGTCGTCGTAGGCGTAGGCGGTCGAGTTGGAATCCATCGGATGACTCGGGCTGCGGTGATTGATTCTGAATGTCCTCCAAGCTCGACCCATTGTTTTTGCTGAAGCTTCAACGTGGACTTCATCAACGACCTGAGCCCCGCGCATCGTATGCGTGCAGTGCCGGAGAGCAGCGCAGCGTGCGACGCTGTCAAGCAATGAAACTACTCGCTCTACTCGCCGCGACGGCAGCGGCGCTGTCGGCGCCCGCTCGACACACAGTCGCTCGACGTCCCTCGGGCCGCGCGCGAGCGGCGGGCCGCGCCGTGCACCAGGCGCTGCGCAGCCGCCGGACGATCAACAACTTCGACCAGTCGAAGCCGGTCTCCGACGAGATCATGCGACGAGCGCTCGAGGCGGCGATCCAGGCGCCCAACCACAAGCTCACGGAGCCGTGGCTCTTCCGCCGCCTCGGCCGGGAGTCCATCGAGGCCGTCGCGACGCTCAACGCCGCGTCGATCGCCGACCCGGAGAAGGCGAAAAAGAAGGCCGCGCGCTGGGCGTCCATCGACAACTGGCTCGTCGTGACGTCGAAGATCACGCCCGGCGACGAGCTGCTGACGCTCGAGGACTACGCGGCGACGTGCTGCGCGGTCCAGAACCTGCAGCTCGCCTTCGCCGCGGACGGCGTCGGCACCAAGTGGACGAGCGGCGACATCCAGCGCACGCCCGAGTTCGAGAGCATCTGCGGCATCGAGGCGGGCAAGGAGCGCGTCGTCGGCGTCGTCTGGTACGGCTACGCGGACGGCGCTCCGCCGCCGCCGAAGAAGCGGAAGCTCGCGGTCGACGACGTCCTCGTCGAGGTGGCATAGCTAGAAAGTAACCTGCAACACGCGTTTACTCGAATCCACATTGCTTACATTTACAGGCGCACGACCGTGATGGCGGCGTCTTCGGACTGCGCACAGACTCGCGCGCCGACGCGCTCATAACACCTCCGGACACTCAAGCGCACGCCGTCGCTCGTCCAGAGCCGCTCGAGCGAGAAGACGTGGTCGAACTTTGAAGCCTCGAACTGTGCGAGATTCAAGTCACGCATTTCGTCATACACGTGGTTCAAGCCGGTGCCCAATTCTGCACGCAAACACGTGTCCATCGCATCGTATCTGCTCTGGTCCCCGCAGTACTGGTTTTTCCCTCCGACTAGCAAGATATCGTCGCCGACGGAGACACAAGTAGTGTGCTCGAGCTCGAGATTGGGCCGGGGTAGATCCAACCACCATTGTCGCATCCACATGCGACAATCGGAATCGTCGTCGGTGATGAGAATGTCCAGCGGCCCGACGTGGCCCTCGTCGCCTTGCGAGACCGCGCCGTGGCTCCCGATGATCCGGCCCCGGAGCCCGCGCACCTCGACGGGCATGGAGACGCCCAGGCCGTCGCTCCAATCGTCATCGATCCACAGTCCCTTGACCTCGTTCTTCTCGACGCGTCTCAGCGTCGGGGGGTCTTCTGGACTCGGAACGTAGACGGAGCAGCCGTCCTTCGCGAAGACGCAGAGGTGGCCACCGGCGACGGCCGCGCAGCCCTTGTTGACGGTGAAGGGGCATGGCGGGAGCAGGTCCCAGCGGTCCGCCGCCGCGTCGTATCGCTCCACGGTGCGGCTCTCGCTGCCGTTCGCCTTTCCGCCGACGACGTGCGCGCGGCCGTCGAGCACGGCTCCCTGCGCCCACCATCGCGGGTGGGCCAACGGTGCCGCCTCCGACCAGACCTCCGTCGCCGGGTCGAAGATCTCGCACGACCTGAGCTCGTCGTAGCCGTCGCAATCGATGCCGCCGGCGACGAGCACGCGGCCGTCGGGCAGCGCGGCGACGACGGAGGACTGGCGGGACCGGCGAAGCCCCGGCGCCTCGCGCCAGGTCGCCGTCCACACGTCGTAGATGAGCGTGCGCGTCGCCTTGGTGAACATATCGGTGAGGCCGCCGACGACGTAGATCTTGCGGCCGACGACGACGGCGCCGTGCCGGTACCGCGGCTCCGGCATCGGCGGGCCGTCGAACCACGAACCTTCGATGCCGAACCGGAAGCTGACGCGGTTCGACGGCTCCTCGCCGTTCGTGACGCAGCCACCGGTCAGCACGAGCAGCGGCTCCGCCGTATCCGCCGAGAGCGCGCGCACCGCCGGGCTCTCGACGCAGGCGAGCCAGCGCGAGCACACGACGCGCGCGGCGACGAGCGTGCGGATGCCGAGCATGCTCATTGGACGTGCCAGGACGTCGTCGGGCAGACCCATTGGACCCTGTTTGGGCATTTCCATGCAGCATGCGCGCCCGACCCCCGGGCACGGCCGCGCCCCTTAGGCGTAGCGGCCGCGTAGTCTCCGCGTATGGATCACTGTGACAGGGAAGGTTCCTTAGAAGCGCGCGCGCGCGCGCGAGCGCCCGCTTAATCGATCTCCTCGATCTTGGGCCCCTCGTCGGCCGCCTCGGGCTCCGGGGCGCCGCCCGGCGCGCCGCCGCCGAAGTCGGGCATGCCGCCGGGCATGCCGCCGGGCATGCCGCCGGCGCCCGCGCCGCCGCCGAGGTTCTGGAGGATGGGGTTGACGATGGCCTCGAGCTCCTTCTGCTTGGCCTCGTACTCCTCCTTCTCGGCCATCTGGTTGGCGTCGAGCCACGACGTCGTCTCGGTGATCTTCGCGTTGACCGTCGACTTGTCGTCGTCGGAGAGCTTGGCCGCGAGCTTCTCGTCGGACATGGTGTTCTTCATGGAGTAGCAGTAGTTCTCGAGCGAGTTCTTGGCCTCGACGCGGACCTTGTTGGCCTCGTCCTCGGCCTTGTAGCGCTCGGCCTCGTCGACCATGCGGTCGATCTCGTCCTGCGAGAGGCGGCCCTTGTCGTTCTTGATGGTGATCTTCTGCTCCTTGCCCGTGGACTTCTCGACGGCGGAGACGTTGAGGATGCCGTTGGCGTCGATGTCGAAGGTGACCTCGATCTGGGGCTGGCCGCGGGGCATGGGCGGGATGCCGTCGAGGTTGAACTTGCCGAGGAGGTTGTTGTCCTTGGTCATGGAGCGCTCGCCCTCGAAGACCTGGATGAGCACGCCGGGCTGGTTGTCGGCGTAGGTCGAGAAGGTCTGCGACTTCTTCGCGGGCACCGTCGTGTTGCGCTTGATGAGCGCGGTCATGACGCCGCCGGCCGTCTCGAGGCCGAGCGACAGCGGCGTGACGTCGAGGAGGAGGAGGTCGCTGAGCTTCTCCGACGAGTCGGCGCCGGAGAGGATGGCGGCCTGGACCGTGGCGCCGTAGGCGACGGCCTCGTCGGGGTTGATGGACTTGCAGGGCTCCTTGCCGTTGAAGAAGTCGGAGAGGAGGCTCTGGATCTTCGGGATGCGCGTCGAGCCGCCGACGAGGACGACCTCGTTGACCTGGCTCTTGGAGAGCTTGGCGTCGCGCATGACCTTCTCGACGGGGTCCATGCACTTGCGGAAGTAGTCCATGTTGAGGTCCTCGAAGCGCGCGCGGGTGATCGTCGAGTTGAAGTCGATGCCCTCGAAGAGCGAGTCGATCTCGAGGTGGGCCTGGGTCGAGGAGGAGAGCGTGCGCTTGGCGCGCTCGCAGGCCGTGCGGAGGCGGCGGAGGGCGCGCTGGTTCGTCTTCAGGTCCTTCTTGAACTTGCGCTTGAACTCGGTGAGGAAGTAGTCGACCATGCGGTTGTCGAAGTCCTCGCCGCCGAGGTGCGTGTCGCCGGCCGTCGCCTTGACCTCGAAGATGCCCTCCTCGATGGTGAGGAGGGACACGTCGAAGGTGCCGCCGCCGAGGTCGAAGATGAGCACGTTGCGCTCGTCGCCCTTCTTGTCGAGGCCGTAGGCGATGGCCGCGGCCGTGGGCTCGTTGATGATGCGGAGGACGTTGAGGCCCGCGATGGAGCCCGCGTCCTTGGTCGCCTGGCGCTGGGAGTCGTTGAAGTAGGCCGGCACGGTGACGACCGCGTTCTTGACCTCCTTGCCGAGGTACGCGTCCGCGATCTCCTTCATCTTGATGAGGACCATGGACGAGATCTCCTCGGCGGCGAAGGTCTTCTCCTCGTTGCGGTAGGTGACGTGGATCTGGGGCTTGCCGCCGACGCCGCCCGTGACCTTGAAGGGCCAGTGCTTCATGTCGGACTGGACCGCCGCGTCCGTGAACTTGCGGCCGATGAGGCGCTTCGCGTCGAAGACCGTGTTGAAGGCGTTCATGGCGACCTGGTTCTTGGCGGCGTCGCCGATGAGGCGCTCCGTCTCGTTGAAGGCCACGTAGGACGGCGTCGTGCGGTTGCCCTGGTCGTTGGCGATGATCTCGACGCGGTCGTTCTGCCAGACGCCGACGCACGAGTAGGTCGTGCCGAGGTCGATGCCGACGGACTCTCCGGTGACGGTGGACATGGTTCTAGCCTGCGGGGGGCGGGGGGTGAGCCGGGGAGCCGGCGGGGGCGCGGGCGTGGAAGGGGATGTCGACGTGGCAGCTGCCGGCGTCGGGCGGCGGCGCGGGAGGGCCGCGGCGCCCGTTTTTTTGGGGCGGCGCGGCCCCGGGAGGGTGAGGGGAGGGCCGGGGCGCGGCGTGGGCGCGCGCGGGCCCGGAGGGGGGCGACACGCACTCGCTATGTGGTTACAAATTTGCGCGGGATGGCGAGTGGCTTCGGCGAACCCGCTGCGTGGACGGAGAACGGACGCCGGGGGAACCGCTGAGGAGATTTCGACTTCGATCGAAGCTGCACCAAACCGACGCTGATGTCTGCATCTCGCCTTACATTTACCCCACACCGACGCAAAAATAAATCGTCATAGCCGCGGCGATGCGGCGCCGGCTGCCCACGACCCGGCGCAGCGCGGCGAGGCGAGATGGAAAGGTCGCGAAGGGCTGCCGACCCGTGCCGCTCCTGCTCGGACTCGCAGCGCTCGTGTTTCTCTCAACGAGCCTGTTCCACCACCCGCCGGCGCAGCCCATCCCGCCGCCGCAGCCCCGCTCGAGAAGAAGCACGTCGTGCCCCCCGGCGCGACCTTCGACGTGTCCACGACCGCCGCCGTCGCCGCGTCGGAGCTCCAGGCCCTCGCCAAGGAGCTCGCGCGCGAGGCGCCGCCGCCGCCGCGCGCGCCGCTGGCGGCGCCGCCGCCCAAGAAAGCTTTATCGCCGCCCGCGGTCGCCACGGAGCTCGCGACGAAGCGCAAGGAGGCGACGAAGCGCGCCGTGCGCTCGCGCAAGGAGGAGGACATGGAGATGCTCCGCAAGGCCGCGGAGATGCGCGCGGCGGGCCAGGACGCGTGCCACAACAACGTCTTCATCGTGCACTGGACCCACGTGCCCAAGGCCGGCGGCACGGCCTTCGCTTCTTTAGCCAAGCGCGCGGCCTGCGCGAAGAACCCGGAGCTCGCGGACAGCAACCCGTGCTGCGTCCGCGACGTCTGCGTCGCCGAGGGCTCCTGCCACTCGACGGCGTCGACGTGCCCCTTCGTCCAGGGCATCGGCAAGCACACGTCGAACATGGGGCGCCTGCCCCTCGTGCCCTGCTGCGGCCGCGAGTGGTACCTCTCGACCGTGTCGTCGTTCCTGCGCTACGCGCTGCGGCCCGCGCCGACGCCCACCGAAATCGCCAAGTACGGCCTCGTCTACCACGCGGACATCCCCTTCGAGCCCGTGAACAAGCGGCGGCCGGAGAAGGTCTACACGGGCGGCCTCGCGACGACGGCCGGCGACGGCCGGAGCTCGCAGCTCGCGATGCGCGCGCGCGCGTACCGCACGTGGCCCATGGAGAAGCGCGTCGAGTTCTTCGCGAAGACGGGCGTCGCCTGGGACGAGCTGAAACGGCGCCTCGTCGAGAAGAAGATCGTGAAGGGCGGGGACGACCAATCGCCCGGCAGTGACCTCTTCCGGCTCCGGGAGATCGCCGAGGCCGTCGCGCCGCCGGCGAACATGACCTACGGCCGCGGCGACAACCGCTTCCCGCGGCCCGGCGAGCAGAACAAGCAGGCGCGCCACTGCGCGTCGAACGCGGAGGCGCTCGAGAAGGGCGAAAAGCGCCACGCGTGCTGCCACGAGCCGGGCAAGGGCGTCGGCGCCAACTCCATGACCATGCTCCGCCAGCCCTTCGTCCGCGCCGTGTCCGCCTTCTTCTACCGGGGCCACAGTCCGAACTACGACGCCTACAAGCTCCGGCCGGGCCTCTGGATCCACCCCAACGACAAGTCGCTCTACCCTGCGCCCATCGCGAAGAAGAAGTGGACCTTCAAGGAGTTCCTCGGCGCGGTCCCGTGTTTTCCCGGGGGAATTTGAAGCTGACTCGCTCCCGCCAGGTCTCGACGAGTACTCGAACATCCTCACGAAGATGTTCGGCGACTCGGAGTCGTGCCCCCAGGCGCGCGCCGGCGCCGCGCGCCGGGACCCCGGGCCGACCTTCATGCCCTCTCTAGGTCCGCAACTGCCGCAAGCTCGGCCGGGGCCAGACGTGCGACATGGTCACGGGCTGCCACGGCTACCACAACGCGTCGCGGTACCTCGCGCAGACGCACGCGGACCGCGCGGCGGACACGCTGGCGAAGCACTCGTTCTTCGGCCTGCTGGAGGCCTACAACGCGTCCGTCCTCCTGGCGGCCCACGAGTTCAAGCTCACGGGCCTCGTGGACGACGACTTCGCGCAGTCGCGCGCGTCGGCTTCTTTAAAGGCGCAGTGCTCGCCGTCCAAGGTGCTGCGCGCCGACGGCGACGCGTGCCGCTACGCCTTCGACGCCTACTACCTCGACAACGTCGTCTACGAGCGCGCGCACCGCGTCTTCTGCGACCGCCTCGAGTCCGCGGGCCTCGCGGGCCAGCCGGCGATCCGCGCGGAGCTCGACCGGAACCGCCTCTGCGGCGAGACGCGCTTCGACGACGTCGAGCACGTCTGCGGCGTCCTCGAGACACCCGAGGCCGTCGCGCGCCTCAACAAGCTCCGCGACGCGTGCCCGCAGCGCGGCGGGAACGTCGCCGACTGGTGGATCAAGTCCTACGGCTTCTACTGGAAGCCGAAGACGTAAAGCGAATTAATAGGCGGTGGGGGCGCAACCACAACCTCACGCGGCCTCCGCCAGCTCGACGGCGGCGTACTCGCCGCGCCGCCGTCGGCCGGGCACGCGCGTGCGGAAGAACTTGAGCGCGACGGCGACGAGGGCCCCGAACGCGAGGACGACGCAGGCGCCGAGGACGCCCGTCCACGTGACCTGCGCCTTGAAGCCGGCGACGGCGCCCCAGAGGCTCGCGGGCTCGGGGTCGACGTCGACGAGCTCCAGGCGGAAGAGCAGGACGGCGCCGCCGGGGATCGCGCCGCGGCCGCGGCCGTTGCCGGCGTCGCCGTAGCCGAGCTCGCTCGGGATCGCGAGGTCCCAGGCGTCGCCCTCGCGCATGAGGAGCAGCGCCTCGGTCCAGCCCGCGATGACGTCGACCGGCCGGAACGTGTACGTGCCTACGAATCCTCGACGTGACGAATCTTCAACGTGACGAATGCCACCCCACGCACCCGCGTCGAACTGCGTGCCGTCGATGAGCGTGCCGACGTAGCGGCAGAGGCAGGGGTCCTCGGGGCCGGGGCTCGGCGCGTCCTCGGCGGCGGACGCGACGACGGCGTACTGCAGCCCGCTCGCCGTCGTGTGCACGCCGGGCTCCTCGGCGTGGGACGCGAGGAAGGCGCGGCCATCCGCCGACGTCCCGGCGGCCGCGGCGCGGAGGAGCACGACGAAGAGGAGCGGGCTGTGTCGCGGGAGGGGGCTGCCCATCGTTTGCGCTGGGCGGCAAAGTGATGGCAACAACGACCTCAACCAAGCGCTCTGTGAGATCTGATCGACGTAAGTGGAGCCTATAGCTAGACGATGACGTCCGCTCTGGAGGTCGACGGCGGCGCGTCGCCGGCGCACGTCGTGGAACCGAGCTTCCTGGCCGCGAACCTCGCCCAGATGACGGTGAATCTCCTGTTCGGCGTGGCCTCCGTCGTCGCCGCCTTCACGCTGCGCGGCGCCGACGCCGTCAATCCCTTCGCCTTCGGCGCGGCGCGCGCGGCGCTGACGTGCGCCGCGCTCGGCGCCGCGCTCGCCTGGCGCGGCGAGACGCCGCGCGTGCCGCGCGCGGACCTGCCGCGGTTCGCGGCCGCGTCGTTCTGCCTCTTCGTCGGCGAGTTCTTCTACATCCTGGGCGTGCGCTACGCCGGCAGCATCCGCGCGAGCCTCTGGCAGCCGTCGCAGCCCCTCTGGACGCTGGGCATCACGGCGGCGCTCGGCCGGGAGCGGCTGACGTGGCCGCGCGCGCTCGGCGTCGCGCTCGCGTTCGGCGGATGCGCGGCGATGATCCTGGGCAAGGCGGGCGGCGCGGGCGGCCGCGCCTACGTCGGCGACGCCTGCCTGCTCGTCAACTGCTCGCTGGGCACGCCCTGCTACATCGTCGCCGTGCAGCCGCTGCTGCGCCGCCACGCGCCGCTCGCGGCCGCCGCGGTGAACTTCGCGTTCAACACGGGCTTCTTCCTCGCGGCGCTCGCGGCCGCCGCGGCGGCGGCCCCGGACGCGGACCCGCCGCTCGCCGCGCGGCCGTCGCCCCGGGCGCTGCTGGGCGTCGCCTACGTCGCGGTGCTCGCGACGGCGCTGCCCTACGTGCTCCAGCTCCGCGCGGCCGCGCGGCTCCCGGCGTCGCTCGTCTCGGCCTACTACGTCCTCCAGCCCGTCGCGGCGACGGCCCTCGTCTACGCCCTCCTCGGCGCGGGCGTCCGGTCGCCGGCGCTGGCCCGGGCCCGGGCCTCGGACCTCTTCGGGGTGTTCGTCCTCGCCGGCCTCGCGGTCGTGGTCCGCGACGCGCGGGCGACGGACCGAAGCCGGCCGCCGGGCGCGAGCGAGGAGCGCAACCCGATCATCGACGCCGGCGAGGACGACCAGGTGGCCTAATTTTCCGACGGCAACGTCGGCATCATCTGGCGTGTTGCCGTCGGCGAGCCGGGCATGTGGTAACCCATAAGCGCTCCGCAGCAATGCCAGCCGCGCGCGTCGAGACGCTCGCCGGCAAGTTCGATGGCAACGACAAGTGGCTCGGCGGCGTCGCGTCGCCCTGCGGCAAATACATCTACGGCGTGCCCGGCCACGCCAAAAGAGTGCTGCGCATCACCGTGGCCACGGGCGCCTGCGACCTGATCGGTCCGGAATTCAAGGGCAAGTTCAAGTGGCTGCGCGGCGTCGCCGTCGCGCCGGAGCTCTGCTCCGCGGCGCACCCGGCGGGTTTGGTCTTCGCGCTGCCGTGCTGCGCGGGGTCCGTGCTGCGCATCGACCCGGCGACGCAGACCGTCGCGACGCTGCCCTGCGCCCCGGGCTCCTTCGCCTGGCACGGCGGCGACGTCGGCCGCGACGGCCGCATCTTCGCCGTCCCCGCGAACGCGGACCGCGTCCTCGTCGTCGACCCCAAGACCTCGGAGATCTCCTACGTCGGCGAGGCCATGCCGGGCAAGCAGAAGTGGTACGGCGGCGTCATGGGCGCCAACGGGTGTATTTATTGCATCCCCCACATGGCGTCGTCGGTGCTGAAGATCGACACGCGACGGGGCGCGACGACGCTTCTCGAGACACGACTCCCCGAGGGCCTCTGGAAGTGGCACGGCGGCGCCGCGAACCGCGACGGGACCGCGGTCTACGGGTTCCCGAATAACGCCGACACGGTCTTGAAGATCGACGTCGCGACGGACGCCGTCGCGCTGCTCCCCGGGCCGCTCGCGTCCGGCCGCCACCGCGCGCCCCAGGACGGGAAATACAAGTATCTCGGCGGCGCGCTGTCGTCCGTCGACGACGCGCTCTACTGCTTCCCCTGCGACGCCGAGCGCGTGCTGCGCGTCGCCGGCGACGACGTGTCCCTCGTCGGCCCGTCCTTCGTCTTCCCGCTCGCGGAGTACCCGCTGCCCCACGGCGCGCCGAAAGCCGCGTCGAACGGTTCGGGATGCAACGTGTCCATGTCGGTGAACAAGTGGCAGAACGGCTTCGCTCTGGAGGACGGCGCGGTCTACGCGATCCCCCAGCGGTCGAGGGGCGTGCTGCGCGTGCTCCCGAAGGCCGACGGCTCCGCGCCCGACGTGTCCCTTTTGGACTGCGGCCAGGCCGCGCAGCCCGTCGACCTCTTCGAAGGCGGCGTGCTCGGCGGCGACGGCTGCATGTACTGCATTCCGTTGCGGGGGCGCTCGGTGCTCAAGGTCGTGCCCGCGCGCCCGGAGGCGGCCTGGTTCCCGGAGACACGCCGGCTCTTCGATGCCCTTTTTGGTTCCTCGGAGGCGTGCGCGCAGCCCTCCTGCCGCGCGCCCTGGCCCGCGAGTCCGCCCTAACGCGTTACGGCCCCGACCCGCCGCCCAGCGCGGCCTTGGTGTCCAGAAAGAGGGTGATGACCTTGCCGACGGTCGTGAACGTGTCCTTCCTCCGGCGGATCGTCGCGAGCGTCTTGACCGCGTCGCCCTCGCAGCCCGCCGCGCGCTGGACCGCCGCGTCGTCGGACCGCATGAACGGGTTCAGCCGCAGCTCGCGCGCCATCGTCGACGCCGTCGGCAGCTCCTTCTCGCGCTGCGCCGCCGTCTCCTCGCACGCCTGTCGCGCGTCGGCGCTGTCGGGCTCGAGCGCGCAGCAGAACTTCATGTTCCCCGCGGTGTACTCGTGCCCCGGAAAGACGCGCGTCGCCGGGTCGAGGCGCGCCAGCTTCGCCTGGGCAGAAAAAGAGTGCGAAATTCCCAACTTTGGAGGCTCATATCTCGATCGTTTTCCACTCGTTTCGGCTAATTTTTGGACGAGCGATCATCTCTGGGAGCGCTCTCGACGCGTGGATGCTTTTTCCGGAACACGCGCGCGCGAAACACTCACGTTGAAGCGACGTTGAATCACTCTTTTCCTGCCCTGAACTTCGCGAGGCTATCGCGCATCGTCTCCGGCGGCGCCTCGAAGAAGCGGCCGCAGCCGCCGATGAAGAGCGTGTCGCCCGTGAAGACCGCCGGCGCCTGGCCGTCGCGCGCGTCGAGCAGGAAGCACACGCTGCCGCGCGTGTGGCCCGGCGTCTCGACGGCCGTGAACGCGAGGCCGGCGCAGACGAACGCCTCGCCGTCGCCGACGCGCCTCGTCACGCAGGGCGTGCGGTCCGCGTCGCCCGCGCCGGCGATGATCTCCAGGGACGGCGTCTGCGCCGCGAGGTCCGCGTTGCCGCCGCAGTGGTCCGCGTGGTAGTGCGTCGTCAGCACGGCGACGAGCGTCACGCCGAGCCGCGCGGCGACGGTCCGCACGACCATGCCGTCGGCGGCGTCGACGACGACGGCCTCCTGCGTGCTCGCGTTGACGACGAGGTAGGAGTAGTTGTCGCTCAGCGTCGGCACGATCTTGATGCGGTAGGCGCCCGCGGGACCGTCGCTGGGGCAGTCGTGGCAGACGCAGTCCTGCACGTCCGTCGCGCCCTGGGCCCAGGCGAAGACGCGGTCCATGATGGTCGCGCTGGGCGCGCAGGCGACGGACTTGGAGGACGAGGAGCTGTAAAAAACTTCAATCGCCAAGTTTTACCACAGCCAGCCTCGCCTCCACGGCCTCGAGCGCCGCCGCCACCAAGATGGCCAACCTCACGGGCGAGGAGCTCATGCGGCGCGTGGACATGTCGAGCGAGCACGCCCAGGGCGCCTTCGCCGGCGGCAAGTTCGACGACGCCGTCAACGCCTTCGACATGGCCCGGTCCTTGCTCGACGAGGGCACGCAGGCGCGCGAGAACGCCAACGTGTCGGAGCTGCGGCGCGAGCTGCGGTTGAACTGCGCCATGGCCGCGCTCTACGCCGGCGAGTTCCGGCGCGCCGAGCTCGAGGCGTCCAAGGTGCTCGACGCGTGCGTGGACGAGGACGACGCCGAGGCGTTCCTGCGCCGCGCGCTCGCGCGCGCGCGGCTCGGGAGCTTCCGCCGCGCCGCGAGCGACGTCACGGCGGGCCTGGCCTGCTGCGTGCCCGGCGACGTCGCCTGGGCGGGGCTCGAGCACCTCAAGGCGAGGCTGCCGAAGCTCGCGGCCGACGACGCGAAGCGGATGCGGAACCGGGGCGTCGTCGCGGAGCCGCGGACCGCGGCCGTCGTGCGGAGCTCCGACGCCGTCATGGACAAGATCATGACGACGATCCACAACGACGACGAGCTGCGCGTGCTGTGCCAGAGCGAGGGCGCGCGCGCGTTCGTCGAGGCGATCGACCGCGACGCGCACGCGCTCTTCGACCCCGAGCAGATGGGCTACATGCTCGAGGACGAGGACGCGCGGTCGCTCTACGCCAAGCTCCAGGCGCGCCACGCGTTGCCGACGGAGCCGCCGCCCCTGCCGACCCAGGAGGAGTACGACCGCGAGCTGAGCCGCGAGGAGGACCGGAAGAAGCGGAAGAAGGGCGCGCCTCCCGCGCTCGAGTCCGCGCCGGCCTACGAGCCCGCGGAGGCCGCCAAGCTCGCGACGCTCGCCGGCGCGTCGCCGAAGCACGCCAAGTGGCTCGAGGCCAACGCCGCGGGCCTGAGCAAGCTCGCGATCCGCGGCGACGGCGGCGACGCGCTCGCGAAGGCGCTCGGCAAGGTCGGCCTCACGGCGCGGCGCTACCGCGAGCTCTTGTTCGCCTACTTCCGCGGGTCGCGCAAGTTCGACCCCAAGTGGTTCGACGAGGCCGCCAAGCAGAAGCCCCTGGACATGGCGAACGCCTTCGGCAAGGACGACGCGAAGGAGAAGAAGCCGAAGAAGCGCGCGCCGTGGGTCGACGCGCCGTATCCCACGTACGTCTCCGCGGCGCAGGTCCGCCGCGAGACGGCGGAGCTCGCGCGCGAGCTCAGGGAGGTCACGCCCGTGCTGCCGAGCTCGCTCAACGCGCAGCCGCCGCTGAACCTGCTCCAGACCTTCCCCCTCTGCGACACGGCCAAAGCCCTCGTCGACGCGACGCCGATCGGCGCCGTCGGCGTCAACGTCAACGTCTGCTGCGTCGTCGTCGCCTGCCTCGAGGCCGCCGGCGGCAAGCACGCGGTCTGCTGCGTCCGCGGCGGCGACGCGGGCCAGGAGGCCGACGCGGACTGGGCCTACCCGGACGTTGGCGCGGCGCTTCTCGACGCCGCGCGCGGCGACGCGCAAATCCTCGAGGACCCGCGGTGCGCCTTCTACGTGTTCCTGGGCCACCTGCACCGCGTCAAGGACGCGAGCGGCGCGCGCTTCGCCGCGGACATCTTCCAGCGGCCGTCGCGGAGCCTATGGGCGACGCTCCACGCGCTCAAGCGGTGCGGCGCCCTCGCGCGCGCGCGCCTCGTCAGCGGCACGCTGCGCCAGAACGAGCGCGTCGGCGCGAGCCACAGGGGCGTCTTCCGCGTCGTCGACCCGAGCCTGAGCCACCTCGCGCGGTCCGACGGCGACGACGACGCGCGGAACGAGAAGCTCGAGCGGTGCACGCGGCTCGCGCCCGTGTCGACGCGCGTCTTCCAGAGCCCGCCGGGCGTCGACCACGACGGCCCGGAGTGGGAAAACGTGAAAAAGAAATTCTGGAAACTCGCGGAGGCCTGGATCTACGACGCGCCGCGCGACGACGCCTGGTGGCGCCACCTCGAGCGCGCGGTCGTCATCCGGCTCCACGAGCACCCCTCGGGCGACGTCGAGGCCCTCGCGATCGCCGTGGACCGCATCCTGGACGAGGCCGACGCGGACTACCCGAAGACGTGGTGGGACGTCGCCGTGCCGCCCGACTTCGACGAGGACGTGCTCCTGCCCGTGGACCCGGACCCCGCGGAGGACAACCCCGAGATCCACTACCGCGACTTCGACGACGCGGACCTCGAGGTCGAGGAGCTCGACCCGAAGACCGCGGACCCGAAGGCGTCCTACACGACGCTCCCCGACGGCCGCAAGATCGACGAGGACGGCTACCTCGTCGAGGACTGAGCCTTTTTTTTTAACGTGGTCGTGCAACACGGCGCCTACTGCGCCTTCTTGCCGGGGGCCGCGTCGGCCTTCATCTTCTTGCCCTTGACGACGAAGGCCGTCGCGCTGGCCGCGCAGACGACGAGCCCCGCGACCTTGGGCGCGTCGAGGGTGCTCCGGTCCCGCGGCACGAGGGCCGCGGCGACGAGGAGCGCGAGGACGGCCTTGACGGGGCTGAGGATCGCGTAGAGCACGGGCCCGCCGTCGAAGGTGGAGACCTTGGCCGTCGTCCAGCGCAGCACGACGGCGAGGGCGCTGCTGAGGGCGAGGAGGAGCGCGGCGGCCCGCCGGTCGAGCCTCGCAACGGCCGCGCGGGGCGCGTCGAGGAGCGCGGCCGCGATGGCGACCTCGATCACGTTCGCCCAGAGCCACGCGCCGTGGCGCAGGTGGAGGCCCTGGTCCTTGTTCACGCTGTTCATGAGCATGGGCGTCATGGGCTGGAGCGCCGCGGCGGCCAGGAAGAAGCGGTTCTCGACGGCCTTCCCAAAGTCCGCGCCGGGCCCGACGCCCGCGCCGAGCGCGAGGCCCGCGCCCGACGCGGCGCACGCGAGCCATCCCACGCCGCTCAGCCTCGCGTCGAGGAACGCGGACGCGACGGCGGCGCTCCAGAGCGGCGACGTCAGCTTGAAGAGCTGGAAGTCGGCCATGGACGCGCCGCGCGCGATGCCGAGGTTCCAGAGCGCGACCTGCACGTAGCCGCCGAGCGACAGCAGCGCGAGCAGGGCCCAGCCCGCCGCGGTGACGGTCGCGACGGCGCTCGGGCGGAGGCCGCCCGCCGTGACGCGCCACTTGGACAGGAGCGACGCGAGGGCGTGGGCCAGGACGAGGCCCGTCGGGTGGACCGCGCCGCCGCGCATGAGCGCGTTGTTCGTCAAGGTGAGGCACACGGACGCGACGACGGACAGCGTGCAGACCGCCCCGGCCTTGGCCAGGGTGAACACCCTGTGCCGGAACACGGGGTCGCAGATGAGGCAGCCCTCCTCGCAGGGCATGGTGTCGCGCGCGACCCGTCGCCGAGGGGCAGCTTGACCGACGCAGGCGCGCCCGCGGACCGCGCGACGGAGCAGCCGTCCGAAATCGGGCTCCCTTCACGGTCTGATTCTCTTGGTGATTGAGGTCTAGGCTACCTTCATCATCATATGCGGGGCCATGTTGCAGTCGCGGAGCATGTCTCGAGGAGAGCTGCCAGCCTAGCGGCCAAGCCACAATGCAATTCACGGAAGAAGCCGACACAATAATGGCCGGCGTCTCGGTGGTCATGCCGGCCTACAACGCGGCGAACTACATCGCCGAGGCCCTCGAGTCCATCATCGCGCAGGACACGCGGACGCCGCTGGAAACGATCGTCGTCGACGACGGCTCCACGGACGAGACGCTGGCGATCGTCGACGGCCTCGCCGCGAAGTTCGCCGCGGCCGCGCGGCCGCTGCGCGTGCTGCGCCTCGCGTCGAACGGCGGCGCGGCGGCCGCGCGGAACGCCGGCGTCGCCGCGGCGTCCCACGACTGGATCTGCTGCGCCGACGCGGACGACGTCGCGCGGCCGCGGCGCGTCGCGGCCCTCGTCGCCGCCGCGCGGGGCGCGGCGGACCGGCGGCGGACGCTCTTCGGGTCGCGGTTCGCGCGCGAGCCGGCGGACGCGACGGCCCGGTACGCGACATGGGCGAACGAGCTGCCCCAGGACCGGTTAAAGCTCGAGTGCTTCCGCGAGGTCACGCTGCTGCAGCCGACCTGGTTCTTCTGCAAGGAGCTCTGGGAGGCCGCGGGCCGCTACGACGGCGACACGTGCGACGACCTCCGCTTCTTCCTGAGGCACGTCACGCGCGGCGGGTCGCTGCGACGCGTCGACGAGGACCTCGTCGTCTACCGCCACGTCTCCGGCTCGCTGTCGTTCACGACGTCCCGCGCGGAGCTCGTGCGCCAGCGCGTCGACTTCTTCGCTCGAAGCGTCCTCGACGGCGCCTGGGCCGACAAACGCGTCCGCGTCTGGGGCGCCGGGAGGGACGGCCGCGCGTTCTTCAACGAGCTCGCCCGGCGCGGCTACGGCGGCCGCGTCGCGGCGCTCCACGACGTCGACGCGGCGAAGCTCGGCACGTACCACAACGGCGCCACGGGCGCGAGCGTCGCCGTGCTGCCCGTCGACGCCATCGCGCCGCCGTTCGTCGTCTGCGTCGCGCCGCGGGACCCGGCCTTCCTCGCCAAAGTCCGCGCCGTCGCGGGCCGGCTCGGCGCGATCGAGGGGGCCGACTACTGGCACTTTAACTGACTAATTAGCGCGCGCCGGCGACGATGGCGTTGTAGTGGATCGGCGAGATGTAGGAGAGGAAGACCTCCTTGCCCGCGCGCGGCGGCTTCTTGACGCCCCGGGGCACGGGCGGCGTCGGCCGGTCGTCGCCCGACTCGGGCTCGTACTTGAGGTACCAGTTCGCCGGCTCGGACGTGACGACGTGCGCCACGCAGCCGTAGGCGTCGACGACCGCGCGCAGCGTGAGCTCGTCGCCCCACGTGCACGGCCGCGCCATGCCCTTGAGGTACCTCTTGAGCTCGTGGTCCCCATCGAAGAACATGCCGAAGTAGTCGGAGTGGTTTCGCATGTGGGCCACGGCGGCCTCGCGCACGACGGCGTGCTCCTCCTGCGTGCCGAACAAATTGAACGCGAACGACCGGAACTGGCAGTTGCCGTCGCCGTCCATCGTGTGCATGGCCAGGCCCAGGTCGCCGAGCCGGCCCTCGAGGGACCCCGCCGGTGCCCGCTTCGTCGCCGTCTCGACCTTGGCCTGGAGCTTCGCGCGGTCGATGCTTCCGATCTGGCTCATGCGGCTCTGCGTCTTCGGCAGCGCCTCGAGGGGGCCGAGCGCCATCGTACTCGACCGCCGCTGCTTCTTCGGCATGGAGTCGACGACCTGGCTCGCGCGCCTTCGCTGGTCGTGGATGCGCTCCTTGTCGACGGCGCGCGTACTCACGCGCGTCGCCTCGACGCCGCCGAGCTTCGCGCCGTCCTCCATGGCCGTCGGCTCCGACGACGAGCTCGCGGAGCTGCCCATTTGTGGAGGGCGCTGTTGCGGGGCTGCCCGCGGCTTCGACCCAGCTCCGGACCACGAGAAGAGGACCTCTCGGAGCACAGAAGGTCGAGATGTTAGGCAGCCATCTCAGATCGAGGTCGTTACTTTGTTTGCTCCTGCTGGGCACCTTTGGCCTGTCAGACCGTGTTTCACTTTGCCCTCGTTGGAGCTCATCGTTTGGCTTCTCGTCTGGGGCTGCCCGCAGCGGCGTCGGCAACATGGCTGACGAGGAGATCGTGCGGTCCTACGCGCGGGACGTGCTTGGCATGAAGGACGACGAGCTCGACGAGTACCTCTGGCTCGCCGAGGAGTCGATGCGCGCGCCCATGCCGCCCGGCTGGGAGCAGTTCGAGGACGAGGCCCGCGGCAAGCCCTACTACGTCAACGCGACGACGGGCGTGACCCAGTGGGACCACCCATCCGACGAGTGCTACCGCGAGAACTTCGCGCGCCTCAAGGAGAGCGCCAAGGGCCGGCCGTCGTCCGCGCGGAAGTCGTACCAGGGCAAGAGCCGGCAGCGCGCGCGCGACCGCGCGGGCGACCGCGACCGCGCGGGCGACCGCGGCCGCGACGACCGGGACCGCGACGCGCGCGGCAACCCCATCCCGCGGCGGCCGCCGGGCTACCGCGAGCCGTCGCCCGACGCGCCGCCGGGCCGCGGCGGCGACAAGAGCCCCGGCCGCGGCGGCGAGCGCCGCGGGCCCGGCGGCGGCGGGAACCGCGTCACCGTCGTCCGCGGCGGCGGCGCCGGCGCCGGCGGCCGCGAGACTCGCGACGACCGCGGCGGCGACCGGGACCGCGACGACCGCGACCGCGCGAGCCCGAAGCGGCGCCCGTACGGCGACCGCGCGGGCGACGGCGACGGCGGCGGCGGCGGCGGCTACGGCGACGACGCGCCGCGCCGCGCGGGCAGCCCCGGCCGCGCGCGGGGCTACGCCGGCCCCGCGCGCCGCGGCGAGGGCGACGACGACGACGAGGGCCGCGGCCGGCGCGGCTACGGCGCGCGGCGCGACGGCAGCGACGACGACGGCGGCCGGTCGCCGGGCCGGGGCTACGGCGCGCGGCGCGGCGACGACGCGCCGCGGCCCCGCGACGGCGCGGGCGCCGCCGGCAACGCCGCGCCGAACGCGGCGCCGCGGGCCAAGGGCGGCGCCGTGACCGTCCGCGTGGAACTCGACCGCCGGTTCGGGACGTCCCGACCAAAATT